CTTTTGTGAAGAGTCATGATTAGAGCAGTTCAGAAAATTTGGAAAATAATGGAAACTCTGTCATAAAACATGATGATCGGCAAAAAAATATTCTAGTCATTACTACGTCTCAGAAAAATAATAATGATGACATTGAGTTCACTAAAAGTCAGGTTGTAGAGCAAGAATTAACAAAGGAATTGCTCAGCGGTATCATTTCTGCTCTATCAATCTCTTTTGAGGCTACGGAACAGATATCTTCGGTGTCACATCCATCATCTCTAGATATGACACAAAACTTAGTCCATTTATTCCAGAATGCAATACAAGCTGGACACGAGATGATCTTATCTTGGCTCTATTATTCAAATAATTTTGAAAATAAAGTTGATGAGATTCGCCATGACACAGGGGCTTCAGATAAAATAGCTAGATCACAAATATACAAAGAAATGCTAGAGCATCTACCTGGTATCACATTAGGAAACTTGCGTATGAGAACCCTACGAGCTAAAAAAATCCATATGTTATTTGAAAAAGGCAGAGTGGGAATAGATAAAATTAAGCAGGTAACTTTAGTGTTTATAACATTTCAAGCCTTACTATTAATCAAATTCAAAGTATTATCAAGAATGTGACTTTGTCAGGAAGAATACCAGAGATACCAAATTGTAATTATGTAACTTCCATCACGAATCATGATAATCAGAGTCATGTGACTGAAAACCGTGAAGATTTTCTTCACGATCAGAGTCATGCGACTTCAAAAATTAATCTGACTAATATATATATTCCTTCGAAAGCACCTCAATCTAAATTAACGAATAACCACACCTATTTTCGCAACAAGATATTGGATTAATATCAAAATTTATATAGAGAATTTAGTAGTGAAAATTTTGATTATTATAGCATTACTGATGAGATATCATGCCTATTATGCAAGTTAGATCATAATGATGAGGATGGTGTGAAGGGCAGATATGAAACCGGATCCTATTATATCAAATGTGAACAGCGTGGAGTTGAAATTGAGGTAATAGCATAAAGCACAATAACATGAAAAATTAAAATTATTTGCTCTTTAAAAGATTTATTTTTTCCTAACACTTATTACGTGATTTTGAATTAACATATATTTTTTATATGATAACATGGCTTCTACCTCTGATAAGAAAATACTAACTGATGACTATCTTAAATGGCATGCTAAATTGACTTTACCGACTATTTT